TCTCTGCCGTGGCCAACGCCAACCTCACGTGATGACGACATGCCGCCTCAAATCCCTGATTACAGTGATGGGTACTCCGTGTACTCAATCCAAGAGCATCACTCAAAAACTCGCTTACCCCCCTCCCCCAGCCCTAAGGACCTAAACCCGCCGACCTCGTCATGCGGGCGGCGTGGGAAAGATGAGTGTTAATGACATAATTGACCCTTAGACACCTATAAAGACTGTTCATTTTGTACACTTTCACTCCTTCATGTAATTGTACTGGCCTGACGAAGAATTACTGAAAACACGTGTTAGCCAACTTGACTTTTCAAGTGTAACATGGGAATATTTGCGGAACTGAGTTAATAATTTAATTCCCCTCGAAATTATATAGCCGAACATTATCTCGCGTGATATTTTTGTATCGCTTTTGGCAATAAGCCCATGTCACCATTTCATCTATTGATGTCCTCGAATAAAATATTGCACTTACTTTTGGTCCAAATGTAGGAAATCTTATGTCACCACCCTAGTGTCCAAATATGGGAATATTTTTAACCAAACATTTATTGCAACAGTAACGTACTTGATGTCCACAATCATCCACTCGTTTAAAATAATATATAAAAAATATAAATCAGACTTAGACATTTTCTTCTTTCGTTAGCTAATCTTTTATGCAGTGTTAAATATCAGCCAACCACATGAAACAAAGAATGTAACTGTATTGAAAGAAACGCATGTTCAATCGTTATGGGAGAAGTTAACTACTTGGACGCTCTCTGCAACACGGTTTACTTCAAGGTGAAGGATATTAAAAATTATCCTTAACATTGAAGAGGTCATCCGACTGATTCATTTTTATTGACTGACGTGATTGTAGACGATGTGCCTTAATCATTCCTGCGTATTTCCAGACCGCCGAACACCTGCACTTAACGTCTAAATAACTGCCATTAAAAAATTCCACATCTATGTGGCCTGTTTTTGTACATGACCTGTTGCGCACAGTATATTTTAAAGGCAGCAAATATTTGCTTAGAAAATTTCGAAGACACTGATAATTCCAAAGTGATCACAAAACTCCTCCTCTTTGGAAATTCATATGAACCCCAGCCAACCCATTAGTTCAAGATTCAGCAACTGGACTGCGAAAAACTATGAAGTGCCTGCAGCCACACACTAGACACCTCGGGACTGAATTCTGCTTGACGTCAATCTGCATTCAAAATAAGGAGAGACAGTAAAAGGTGTTCTTTAAAGTTCTCTTGCTATAGATACAGCAGAATCATACCTACCTCAGGTATGAGAGAGCATTTCCTAATGCTTGCCACTACCTGCTTCATATCCAACGCCTGTGGGTAGAGCCGGTAAGCAGAACGAGGAATCGGGCGTCTCCAGTTGTAATCCTCAATCTCCGCCATGTCCTTAAATGTGTAGGTTCGTCGGTGTGAACGACGTCGTCGGATTTGTCGAGCGAGGACAAACTGATCGGCAATTTTGCGACGGACGTGGCTGTCCTTCTTAACCTGCACTACGAGTGATAACTCGTACGTGTTTGTGTTAGGCCGGTACTCGATGTGCTGCCAACCGGAATGGTAGTTACTTGCATTTCTGATCATGAAAAGCTCCGAGTGGATGACGATCCGCCATCTTGCAGTAAAAAGATAACAGAGGAGACCTATCGCCAAGAGGTAAAAAACCACAAGTCTTTTCGGGCGCGGAGCGTATTGGTGCATTGTTGTTTAGCGACTGACTATTCACGACTCATAAACTAATATATTTGCATTTTATTGCACATTCAAGGCTGTAACGGCCGCAATCGTTGGGGTATTCGGCACGACATTTTAACCAGCCAATCAACTTTTGTGCGTGTAAGACGCGCGTCGGACAGTTGGTGAAAAATCCAAACGTGCAACCCCTATTCACATGCCGATTAGCAATTGGACTGAAAACGCGTATTACAACGTTTCGTGATTGACATTCGATTGCACAGGCAGCATTGCCATTAAGGTCTTCGGGTGTGGGCAAATTATTTGAGTGAATACGAAGAACATCTGCGTCAGGGAAGCAAGCGAAAATAAATTCTTACGTAATCATTATTCCATTTGTCTTCTCTTTGACATCACGTAGTGTTGTTAAAAGCTGCATAAGAAAAAAATAAACCATAAATAGAGTTTATCAAAATAAATCCAAAAATGGGTTACATATGTGCACTCGCTATTTGTCAGAGACGGTACTGAAGTGATTTACCTAGCGAATGACATGCATGGCTTAACGATAATCACGAGCATTTAAGTTTTTTACAATTATTTATTTTATTTTTAACAAGTAGACTAAAATATTTGTTCGAAGTGTGTGGAAACTGTTATCGCAATAGCACAGTGTGAACGTCGACGCGTTTATCTGCTCTGAATTACGATGCTCGTTTTAGTTTAATACACGCCCTTCTGTTGCTCTGGAAGTCGACCAATTGGGAGACTGAACTCCCGGTAGTTCGCTGGCAGAGTAAGTAAACGGTTTAACTACTCTCACACGCCATATGCGATGGAAAATCGTTAATATGCAACTGAGATACCTTAGCACGTCAAAAAATTTCGCAGGACTTAGTTACTGTAATTTAGGCGTTCTCAGCGTAAGTGCGAATATTTTAAAGTGTCCGACGCTCTGGTTTTCCACCACTGAAATATAGCTCCGCTGAATGGCAATTATGCATGCGCGGACGACAGATGTAATTTACTGAGCCCCTTTACTGTGATGAAGCAAGCTCCGCTGACAACTAATTGTCGGCCGTTTTTGTATGCTACATAGGCGAATTTATGTATGCGCCAACAGGGATGTCAACAAAGTCGCGATTGGGGGCATAATGTCTGAAAATATTAGTCGCTCAAAAGTACGCTGATGGTGGTCAGGGAAACAGCGGCCTATTAAGCCCATGTTTGAATACCGAACACCCCTACTCCCTCAACACGGGCAATAAGGTGGTGTAAACCGAAAAACAGCAATTTCTATTAGGTTGTGAACAAAGGGCAGAGTCGTCAATCGTGAATTGCCTTCTTTGTTTCCTCTTTGTTTGTTTTCTTTCTAACGAGGCTAACATAAGCTTGACTGTACATCCACGGTTGCTTCTGAAAGGCAGTCCTAAGTCCTTACAGTAAAAATGAATGCAATGTCTGTCAAGGACTTTGACCACATGCAGTCAAACTAACATCAGCGGGCATTCCCGCTTTTAACCCTAATGTCTATCTTAAACCCAATGTTCGTCGTTACCCTAAAACCCATATTACGTAAAGCAGAAATATACAGAATAATAATCCCTGCTGACCCAGTCCTTATCCATTACCCCTTATCGTAACCTTACCTCCTAGAAAACCCTAATGTCTTACAGATTCGTCCCTACTGGCACAATGGAAGGAAAGTTCTTTTTACAGGGAATGCATACAGCGTGAATACCGAAAATCTAACGGCAGACTGAGTTCAAATTCATTCGAGAATCAATTGCTTTTTTACAAGCAAAATATGGTGCCTCTTTAAGTGTGAACTTTGAAAAAAACATGATATACTGCAAAATAAATGCAGAAAATGATCGTTTCAGATGGCTTTTTAAAATGTGTTTTAAATGTACATGGGCATCGACAATCGGTAGGGAAATGCATAGTCATTAAGTAATCATCTTCTGGCGAGTTTGATTCTCGCAGGTGGCTAGCATTAGATACATTCAAAACTCAACACCTTGCCCTGACTGAAGTACCACGCGAAGTCGCAAAATAATTAGATAACGGTCGGGTGAAGGACCACAAATACAAAAGATCAGCCATCGGTGCCTCTCTTATGGAAAAGATGCTTATACGGGGTTTTACTGGTGGGGCCTATGTATGAATGGAGGAATGGCAAAATAGGTATAGATGATCGGTAATTTGGTTTTTTGGGCGGAAACGTTTTAATGCATTAACATATACCAACCGAAATTAAGCAGGACAATTTAAAAAAATCAACACATTGATTGGGTTTGATGCATTATCTACAATGACCTAAGCTCAGATAGTTAAGAAACGATCGGTGTGGACTGTCTGCTGACCGGCCAGAAAACTCCCTATTGCTACCTTTCCCGCCAGACAGGCGTATTTGGCTGGTTGTGTGTGTATGTGTGTGTGTGTGTGTGTGTGTGTTTGGGGTCCTTCACCCGATCGTCGCCAATAATTAGTCCTAAGTTCTCGTTAAGCTACGCCTCAACAATGCGACAATCCCGGATCGTAAGCCCGTCCCTCATCTTCAAGATTTTGCTGGAGCTCTATTCGGCAAATCGGTTTTCTCGAAGATTAACCTTGTTCGGGCCTTTCATCAAATTCCTGTCGCTCATGAGGATGTTCCTAAAACTGCCGTCACCACAACATTCGGCCTCTTCGAATTTATTCACATGCCATTTGGTCTTCGAAATGCTGCCCAAACATTTAAGAGGTTCATTGACCGAGTCCTACGTGGTCTCCCGTTTGTGTACACCTACATCGATGACCTCTTGGTGGCCAGTCGAAATGCCGAGGAACACAAAGACCATCTTGCCTTAGTGTTTGACCGCCTCGATCATTTTGGCGTGGTCATTAACCCTTCGAAGTGTGTTCTGGGTGTGCCGTCACTTGATTTTCTTGGTCGCCATGTCGATGCACAAGGTTTGCGTCCCCTCTATTACAAGGTTGAGGCCATTCGTGACTTTCCTCCTCCAACCTCCAAGCGTCAGTTGCAACGTTTCCTTGGCATGGTAAACTTTTATCGCCGGTTCCTACCTAACTGTGCCTACCTTATGCTGACACTCACCAACTTGCTCTCTGGTCCCAATGATCCCGTTGAGTTACGTGGCCACGCGCTGACTGAATTTGAGAGAATAAAGATCTCCCTTGCTGATGTTACCTTGCTCACTCATATTGCTCCAGAAGCCCCATTGTCCCTGATGGTTGATGCTTCGACCGTTGCCGTTGGAGCAGTCCTCCAACAGCATATCAACAACACGAAACGACCGTTGGCATTCTTCTCCTAGAAGTTTTCACCTGCCGAGACGAGATACAGCACGTTTTCGTCGTGAACTTCTTGCCATTTACCTAGCCGTAAAACATTTCCGACACTTCCTTGAGGGTCGTGACTTCACCATTTTCACAACCACTTACATTTGCCATCCGAACCCATTCTGACAAATATAACCTAAGTGAGAGATTTCTCATTTGGATTACATCTCGCAATTCACCACCGACATCCGCCACATTGATGGCCCGAAGAATGAGGTGGCTGATATGCTGTCCAGACCCTCACTGTCTTCCCTCCAATTCTCACACGGGATCGACCTTTGTGCCATGGCGACTGAGCAACAGCGAGACGGATGTCCTGGCGACGAGTCTGTTAGTGTTATCCAACTCAAAGACGTTCCTCTGACCACCGGCTCTGGTACCATACTTTGTGATGTCTCAACTCCCTTTCATCGCCCTTTTGTGCCCGCCTCGATGCGTCTAGGTGTATTTCAAACTCTGCATGGACTCTCCCACCGTGGGATCCGAGCCTCACAGAAGCTCCTCGCGGAAAGGTTCGTCTGACCTGGCATGAACAAGGACGTCAAAGCTTGGGCACGGTCGTGTCTGAGCTGCCAGCGCAACAAGGTGCAGCGTCACAACAAGTCCCCACCAGGCACTTTCCTCAGTCCCGACGCACGGTTCAGCCATGTGCATCTGGATGTCTTAGGCCCCTTGCCTCTATCCAATGGTTTCACCTACTTCCTTACCTGTGTCGATCGATATACTCGCTGGGCTGAAGCTATTCCTTTGCCGAGTGTTCAGGCTGAAACCATCGCGAAGGCCTTCGTCAGTCGTTGGGTCGCCATGTTCGGTACCCCATCCACGGTTACGACTGATCGTGGTGCCCAGTTTGAGTCGGCACTCTTCCAAACGCTACTTAATTTCCCTGGCTGCACATGCATTCGGACGACAGCCTACCAGCCCGCTGCTAACGGTATGGTGGAACTTTTCCATCGTCAGCTAAAGACCGCCCTGCGTGCAGTAGAAAACCCAGGAAACTGGTCGGACAACCTTCATCTTGCACTCCTCGGCATCCGCGCAGCTCTGAAGTCGGATCTGGGCTGTAGCGCAGCTGAATTGGTTTTCGGCACTACTCTCCAACTACCAGGCAAGATGATCACCCCAACCTCTCGTGGAGGCGACGAGACTCCTGACAATCTTGTGCACCGTTTGCGGCAATTAATGCGCTCGCTTTTCCCCGGTTCCACCTCAAGCTCCAATGAATGAGTCTTATGTTAAAAAAGACTTGGGCAAGTGCACTCATGTTATCTTCCGGTGTGACCGTGTGCGCCAACCGCTGGAATCACCTTACGAAGGACCGTTCCGTGTGCTCGCACGCAGCGCCAAAACCTTCCGCATTCTTCGCAGTGACAAGGAGGACGTGGTCAGTGTCGATCGGGTCAAGGCTGCTGTTGCAGAGGAGCCGCCGGACCGGTCATAAGGACAAAAATGTGCTGACCCCCTAACACCTGTTTCTCCATCCTCCCTATCCCCTGCTCATTCACCCTGCCCACTGCCTTGCCCTTCCCCTCCCTTGCCCTCCACCTCTCCGTCCCGCATACTTCCTCTCCCTACATGTCAACAGCATCCACCTGCAACACCATCGTCCACCACAGCACGCAGTCAACCCTCTCCGACTGTACCTCCTGCATATATAACTCGCAGTGGCCGTCACGTTCATTTTCCCAATCGTATAGTTACCCATTTTTTCTAGACATGTGCATATCCTCCGGCGCCGTATCCCGTCGCCCTTCGGTCTAGAAGGGGGGTACTGTGGTGAGGTACCTTGACTAATTGACCTTTGACAACTTGGTCCCTTTTTCTTTGACCGCATTGCTTGTTTGAATGTAACGTAAAACGACACACCTGCACATCCAGCCTTTCTAATGTGCTCTGCTGTATTATTCTGTTGTCAGTTTTCTTAACGTTCAAAAACCTCTATATTATTCACTGCTCCGATTTACTTGCTGCATTTTAGGCTAGGGGCTCGTGAGATATAACTCGTTAGTTCGTGGAAACATTACAATTTACAACAAGTATGTTGCAAGATAACTAGTTAAACAACACTGTTTTATTAATCTTTTCGGAACGAAAACGCACTTCGGAATATCGGTTGCCATTTTACGAGTTGGCCTACTTGCCGTATGTAACCGAATAAACAGAGTCTGCCTTAGACGACACAAACAGACAGCTGACCACCCCTAACCAGTCCACATCTTGCACGTTGCATTACTTACAACGGTCTTGTTTCTAACGAATGGGTGAACATTTAAAAATGTCCTATGATATGTTCGTTGACGCTGCAATTCGATCCTACCGACTGCAACTTCCGAATTCATGCACGACAACTGCATTTTTAGGTCTTTTATTGTCTGAATTGAGGTCACACCTTTGATTATTAATCGACCGTTGGTTGTACGCCTCCCACCCTCAGGTACATATACTCCAGATATACTACCTTACGAAAAGTAAACGGACGTTATGAATGCGTTTTCGACTCAAAAGTGTTACTTAAGTAGGACCGCAATCTTTATTATTTTAGCATAATGATTAAACATTTCAGTCGCGTCAAACTACTTCGTGGTCATCCGAAAAAAACCCAGCCTAAAAAATGACTACTGGTGTGCTTCGACCTTTTAATGTTGGATTAGTATACCCTTATAAATTTAAATATGTTTCGGAGAGAATACAAAAATGGTTCGCTCTGTTATTCGCTTGGCAGCTTCAAGCTTGAAGGGACACTATACATTGCTTTTAAAATATTGCAAACTAAATGATTTTCAGGGAGGCAAAATGCCGTCTTTAAACATCCTGTCTTAGTATTTACCAATGTTGCTTGTAAATTGTACAATATGGTTAAAATAAATTGAATGATTGCATGAAGCCATATGGTATATTCATCTTGGAATATACGAATGCACGAATTCTGGGCAGAGAAAAGATCCTGCTTGTATGTGATAAACATTGACTGCTAGAGTAGTGGCGGTTTAGGCTCAAAATTATTCTAAAATTGAAGTCTTATTAACGGGAATTTGCCGTTCCCTAAGTGCATGGTTTAACGAAAAAGCATTCTGTCAGCGAAATAGTAAAATTAACAAATGCTTATGGATTGGATTTTCATGAAAAAATGTTTTTTTTTTGTCTTTTTTAGTTTGAATTAACTATAATAAATTGGGTGACAACTGGGAGATGACGCTCAAATAAATCCGCCTAAACAAAGCAGCCTGTATTACAGGACAGGTGTTAATAGGGGTTTTACGGGCGGGGACTTCGATTGCGTGGATAAATATAAATAATACTAAGAAGTTTTTTAAAAGATGCCTTTTGAACGATAAAGTTTAACCTCATCACTATATGGCAACAAAAATGTGGTCGGTGTCGAATTTACTTGAAGAGGCAGATAATATGGAGTCGATCCAGATCGTATTCTCTGCTAAATTGCTTTTTTTTAATAAAGGAATGAAATCGGAAGGCATTTGGCGAAAGGAAACGTTCTATTTTGTGCTGTTCATGACCCTATGCCTTCAAATGCTCGCTTTTAAAACTGTGCATTCAGTAAATACAGAGGGCGTGATTGAAAACATCGCCAAACTTGACCCCGGCGAGATTTGCCATTTTGTGGAATTGCTTAGCTGATGACACACTCTGTCTAGGATTGTATGATTTTAAAGTTTTCCGGACCTCAGCAAAATATCTTTATTTTATTCCTTTAATCAGCCTTTCGACGAACACTCATGCAGTCCTCCGACATATTCTCATCGGTAACGGAATTTTTTGGATACCATTTCCGAATTGTTAACATAAATTGTTGCCAAACAGTCATTCTGTTAGTCATATGGTAGATTTTAGATGCATTTGTTAAGAAAGGCTACTTAAATGTTCACTTTGCTGTTAATTTAGACGTTGCAGTAGGTCAACCGGTTAAAGCTGGCCCAAATGTGATTTAACTCACGTCTTTCGGTGAGGCATCGTAGCCGAGATGTCTAGAGCTTTTGCTGTACTAAAGCCTTCTCCTTGCTGTCTCGGGTTCGAATCTCACTGAAGAACCAAGTTATTTTTACATTTGGATCAAAAGGAATTTTTCGAAATCCGCCAATTAAACAATCCTTTCAATTCAAAAGCATATATTAAAAGTTCCGTCAACTCGTCTGCCAGACTGATCAATATGACTATTTTGATGGAATCCTCACGTGCAGGCTGTTACACTTAATATTCTCTCCTAAAAAGCAAGATATGCCAGACTCTGTCTTCTGGGCATACCTAAATTCAGGCATAGGCAGTGACGGTTTGTGGAGAATGCGATTTTCGATACAATAGAAAATGCGAGTACCAGGAACTAGTTGACCAGAAGAAGAAGCGATCGCTGGAACAATGGCTTCATTCGCCTGACGTTTCGGATTCTCTCGTGAATTCATCATCAGAGACAGTCGCAGAAACGGAAAGCTAGTGTATAGGAAGTAGCAATATTTATAGGATGCGGTCGCCATGCTACCGCATACCTAGAGCAATTGACCGTGCTCCCATCATCAAGGATTGTTGCCCGTTGGTGCGCTAATTGCTTGATGGCCGGCATGCCAATTGTTAATTGCTGACATCTCCTTTCCCGTGTTGCATGCTGGCGTGATGATTGCTAGGCCATCTGGCTCACGTGCTTGCGCGCCCCTCGAGTAGTCAAGTGCTTTGGCCAGTCTATGCCTCAGGAAAGAATATGGAGTGGGGATGTCGTTACACTTGTTAATAGACTGAGGTCCAGTGAACCATGACTCAAGCAACTCGCGGCTCACGAGAGTATCCCCTCTCGCGAGAATTTCGGCCTCATCGAACTTGAATGTGTGGCCGGGTCTCGTTGAATGGGCCGCGACCTGAGAGTTGGCGTCATTTCTCCGTACAGCTGCCACGTGTTCAGCGATTCGCGTCCGGAGCAGTCTTCCAGTTTCTCCGACGTAGTTGCTTTGTCCGCAACTGCACCAGATCCGGTAAACGACTCCAGATGTTTCTTGCCGTGGCAGTGGGTCTTGTGGTCTCATCACTTGACGCCTCATGGTGGCCTCCGTTCTGTGCGAAACTCCAACCCCAAGTGGTGCAAGAAGGCGGCTAACGGCCTCGAAGACGTTCTTGATGTACGGGATCGCTCGCCAGAATTTGGGGTCAGCGCGATTATGTCGCTCGTCTCGTTTGCGCATGCACTGGTTGACGAAATTGCGCGGGTAACCGTTTTCTCGGAAAACCCGTCGAAGATATTGGGATTCACCAACCGTGTCTTCCGGTTCTGCACGCAGGGCGGTCTTTAGCTGACGATGGAAAAGTTCCACCATACCGTTAGCAGCGGGCTGGTAGGCTGTCGTCCGAATGCATGTGCAGCAAGGGAAATTAAGTAGCGTTTGAAAGAGTGCCGACTCAACCTGGGCACCACGATCAGTCGTAACCGTGGATGGGGCACCGAACATGGCGACCCAACGACTGACGAAAACCTTAACGACGGTTTCAGCCTGAACATTCGGCAAAGGAATAGCTTCAGCCCAGCGAGTATATTGATCGACATAGGTAAGGAGGAAGGTGAAACCATTGGATGGAGGCAAGGGGCCTACGACATCCAGATGCACATGGCTGTACCGTGCGTCGGGACTTGTTGTGACGCTGCACATTGTTGCGCTGGCAGCTCAGACACGACCGGACCCAAGCTTTGACGTCCTTGTTCATCCCAGGCCATACGAATGTTTCCGCGATGAGCTTCTGTGAGGCTCGAATTCCAGGATGGGAGAGTCCGTGAACAGTTTGAAAAACCGCTCGATGCATCGAGACAGGCACATAAGGGCGATGAAAAGGCGTCGATACATCACAAAGGATTGTGCCAGTGCCGGCGGTCAATGGGACGTCAACTAGTTGCAGACTGTCAACAGACTCGTCGCCAGGGAATCCAACACGTAGTTGTTCAGCAGCCATAGCACCAAGATCAATCCAGTGTGTGAGGTGAAACGCCGAGAGGGAAGGTCTGGACAGCATATCAGCCACCTCATTCTTCGGGCCATCAATGTGGCGGATGTCGGTGGTGAATTGCGAGATGTAATCCAAAAGAGAAATCTCTCTCGGTTTATATTTGTCAGATTGGGATCGGATGGCACATGTAAGTGGTTTGTGGTCTGTGAAAATTTTGAAGTCTCGACCCTCAAGGAAGTGTCGGAAATGTTTAACGGCTAGGTAAATGGCAAGAAGTTCACGACGAAAACGTGCTATATCACGTCTCGGCAGGTGAAATCTTATAGGAAAGGAATGCCAACGGTCGTGTCGTGTTGTTGATATGCTGTTGGAGGACTGCTCCAACGGCAACGGTCGAAGAATCAACCATCATGGACAATGGGGCTTTTGGAGCAAGATGAGTGAGCAAGGTAACATCAGCAAGGGAGATCTTTATTCTCTCAAATGCAGTCAGCGCGTGGCCACGTAACTCAACGGGATCATTGGGACCAGAGAGCAAGTTGGTGAGTGGCAGCATAAGGTAGGCACAGTTAGTTAGGAACCGGCGATAAAAGTTTACCATGCCAAGGAAACGTTGCAACTGACGCTTGGAGGTTGGAGGAGGAAAGTCACGAATGGCCTCCACCTTGGAAGAGAGGGGACGCAAACATTGTGCATCGACATGGTGACCAAGAAAATCAAGTGACGGCACACCCAAAACGCACTTCGAAGGTTTAATGACCACGACAAACTGATCGAGGCGGTCAAACACTAAGGCAAGATGCTCTTTGTGTTCCTCGGCATTTCGACTGGCCACCAAGAGGTCATCGATGTAGGCGTACACAAACGGGAGACCACGTAGGACTCGGTCAATGAACCTCTTAAATGTTTGGGCAGCATTGCGAAGACCAAATGGCATGCGAATAAATTCGAAGAGGCCGAATGGTGTGGTGACGGCAGTTTTAGGAACATCCTTAGGAGCGACAGGAATCTGATGAAAGGCCCGAATAAGGCCAATCTTCGAGAAAAGCGATTTGCCGAATAGAGCTCCAGCAAAATCTTGAAGATGAGGGACGGGATAACGATCCGGGATTGTCGCATTGTTGAGGGCGCGATAGTCACCACAAGGCCGCCAGTCGTCTGATGTCGCCTTGGGCACCATATGCAGAGGGGACGCCCGTGGACTCTCGGACGGGTGAATTATGCCCAGTTGCAGCATGTGCTCAAATTTGGCCTTCGCCGCTTCCAGACGGGACGGAGCCAGTCGTCTAGGCCGTGCGAATACTGTGGGGCCAGAGGTGCGAATGTGGTGGACAACGTTATGCTGGATCTCACCTCTGCGAAACCGGGGTTTGATTATTTTGGGGTGTTGGAGGAGCAGGTCTCGGTATAGGCAGCCAATACCTGTGTCCAGAACAGATAAATTGCAGGAGTAATTAAAGGGTGTAAGACTGCGGACAGAAAGACCAGTTGTGCGGTCGAGGAGACAGGAACGCCGACAGTCAACAAGGAGATCAAACTTGGTTATGAAGTCGGAACCAAGGATCGCATGAGGCACATCGGCAATCACAAATATCCAGGAGAATGTTCGACGTAAACCAATGTTTAGGGTAAGTGAACGACTACCAAAAGTGGAAAGGGGGAACAGTTTGCAGCTTGGAGATGTAGACCAGGGCTGGGACAGCGGCGGTCAACTGGAGGGGGGGGGGAACCACGCCGATCTGGGCTCAGGTTTCCACCAGGAAGCGCCTGCGAGTCACATTGTCGCAGACATAAAAGGTGCGACCAGAGCTGGGAGAGCCAGAGAAAACGGTCGCGTCTATTCTCTGGCTGGTTGGTTTCCCTGTTTCGGTTTAAAGGAACAAGGGGAAAACATTTGCCAGCCTTGGCGGCAAAGTTTGCGTGATACCAACACAAATTGGCTGTGCGAGGTCGCGAACGATAACGATGACGGCTGGGTGAGCGACTAAAGGTAATGCGAGCAAGCTGTAGTTTTAGGAAGGTTATGTCATTCGCCATAGCCGACATCTGTTGCAATAACTGCGCGCTAACCGTTGAAGAAGATGTGGAAATCTGAGCAAGGAAGGTGGCTGGAACCGCTGAAACTCTATTATTCGGTCTGCCATTTCAGCAAGATATGAAAGTGTAAGGTCTTGCGAGCCGGATGCCAAAATCGTTTGGACATATGCAGGAAGTCCATCTAAAAACATCTCTTTAACGAGTTTCTCATCGACCTGCATGTCTCCTAAGAGAGTACGCATTCTTCGGAGAAGTTCTGAGGGTTTTCGGTCGCCCAGTGATTCCTCCTTGATCAACTGGTGGTAGCGTTGTCGGTCAGCTACAGCACTGAGACGAAGGATTTCCGCCTTCAGAGCAGAAGAGGGAGTGTCTGCAGGGGATTCCACTAACAAGGGTTGAACTTGTGAGATAATATTGGCAGGCAGAAACTCCACAAGTTTGTGGTATTTCGACAACTCCTTCGTAATTTTGGCGGAGCAAAAGGCTGACTCAATGCGGACAAAATAATGTTAAGGGGCGTGTTGCCAGAAATCAGGCAAAGTTAAATGGACGCATGAACAGACTCGGCAGGAACGTCAGGTTGTTGAGTTGTGGAAGACATAATAAGCAAAATATAGGTAGCACAATATCGTGAAAAGGTTAGCGGGAAATGTAAATGAACCAAAATTTAGAAAATAGATACAGGGCTTTAAATTTAATTAAACGTTAGAGAAGGAAAGAACTTAAGTCTGCGCTAACGTAGGGAGTCACCAATGTTGTAAATTGTAATGTTCTCACGAACTAACGAGTTATATCTCACGAGCCCCTAGCATTAAACGCAGCAAGTAAATCAGAGCAGTGAATAATATAGCGATTTTTGAACGTTAAGAAAACTGGCGACAGAATACCACAGCAGAGCACAGTTGCAAGGCGGGCTGTGCAGGTGTGTCGTTTCTCGTCACATTCAAACAAGCAATGCGGGCAAAGAAAATGGGACTAAATTGTCAAAGGTAAATGAGTCAGGTACCTCACCACAATAGCACAGAAAAAGTGCAGGTTGTTGTGGTTGCCACTGAAACATTACTGATTTTAGCACTTAGAAGCATGTAGACTGTCACGTTAGACGACAATTGATGTAAAATATCTCAATGATAACTGATTCCTTCTCAGTGTTTCTCAGCCAAAGCAAATGCACAAAAAGTCGGTCAGCCGGCTCATCGTCCACTGGGAATAGCACGGTGACGTACGTAGCTAATGTAATTTTCTGAATGACATCATGTTTTTTAGGTACAGGATCCGTAAGGCTGGTGTCTCAGCCATAGTACTTTGCTCATGGAAACGGCCCTTTTCCGAAAACAAATGCCGCAATATTATATTCATAATCAACAAGATGCTCCAGATCGCATGTCAGCTCTGCGCTCCTGGGAAAACCTATTTTTCAGACTTAAGAAACTCTAGATGGTCATCGTCAGAGAAGGAGGTCGTTGTCAGGAATTGAACTCAGCGCGTTAGATGACTGATGCCCATTGAACTAACTACAGCCTGAGATTAAATTAAGCGTCCTCGTAGTCGTCAATAAGGGGAGCACCATTTGTCTGAGCTCCTTCTGCCAGATTTTTGACATTACCCAGCCTATTAGAATGCGTCATCTCAAGCGAGTCATCTTCTTAGTCTAACAAGATGTTTAGCTCGTCACGTAGGGAGATGCGAACATCAGGTCCGAGGACAAGAAAGGCGTCGGTTCCAAGAGACGTGGATTATGAGAGGGCTCACATCGGTATTGTGAATAATATTTTTGCACTGAGAACTCCAGGTAGCGTTCACATTTAAAGTTTCTCTCCAAAATGTCTTTTTTTCTGAGATACAGTGCGTGACCTATCTCATGAAATGCTGGCTGAAATTCTCAAATGCGTTTTCGATTAGGAAGGATTACTTGGTCGCGGTTGTGATAATGATTTTCTTAAGGAATACTCTTATAAAATTTTGGATTCGGCAGGATGTGGGCTTATAAATGCACTTCTTTTCAATCTGCTATACAAAGCGTGCTCGGCAAAATATGGCTACTTATGTAGCATGCAATTTTCCCAGTGATTTTCGATGGTCTTGGAAATTCAAATATATTTTATAGAAACCACAGACAAAAATATGCTTTCTTTTAGTCAATCAATAGAGAATCACGTCTTCTTTTTATTTATACTTAAGGAGGGAGTATAATTATGCTTTGAATAAGTTTCTTATTATGAGACTTTTTAAGACCGCGATATGTCCATTCGCATAGCATCGTACCTGGCCGTTTACCACTGCTCTTCATGAATTGTATACCATGGTCCGCATCAATTGCAAAACTTTATGAACCCTGTATAATATCTCTTTAATGACATAGAAAAATATGGGAATTTATTTACGCAGAACGCATGCACCTTGTAGAGTGTTATCACTAAGCGCTAATACAAAGAATGATCAGGCTCCAATTTATTCGGCAATTAGAACACCTTTTAAAACCTAAATATAATCCCACCTTAAGTATAAAATATAAAGAAGACGTGATTCTCTATTGATTGATTAAATGAAAGCATATTCTTTGTGGTTTCTATAAAATATATTTGAATATCCAAGACCATCCAAAATCAATGGGAAGAATGCATGCTACATAATGAGTCATCTTTTACCGAGCACGCTTTCTACAGAAGAT